GCACCTGGACCACGGCTGATCTGAACTAAGGTGTGCTTATGTTCAAAATATAAACTGGACTCTGGAGATGTAAAGAATGTAAAATAGCTCATCAGTAATTTTTTCATGTTGATTACATGCTGAAGTAATACTGTTGGGGATATAGTGGCTTAACTAAAAACATATTGTTAAAATGAATTTCCCTCATTTCTTTCTTTTTACTTTTTAAAAGTACAGCTACTTGGAAATTTAAAGTTGCATATGAGGCCTCACATTGTATGTCTCCTGGGCAGTGCTGATCTGGAGAGGGGAATTCATTTTCTTGTATGGCTCATTAACTGATCTTGTAATTCTGGAGTGATTCTTGAATTCTAAAAATATTCCAGATGAATGGAATGAAGTCATCATTAGAATTGAAATATAGCTTTATCAAGTGATTAATTGGAAAGAAAACACATATTCTGATGTGTAGGTTCCAGTGTGATTTAAGTTTCGAATCTTGGTCAGATGTCGTGTGTTCAGACAGGAGAACTCGGTGGTTAAGACGGGGAAGACGCCCCCTTGACCTGGGGAGGCCAGAAGGCTTCCCCAAAAGTCAGCCTGGAGGGGATTTGGGTAGCGAGGAACAGCCCTGCCCTGAGTCTCCAGAAAGTGGTCTGAGCCAGGGGTTGGCCACGTGTAGTGCATGAACCAAATCCCGCCTTCTGCCTGTTCTGTACAGTGCACAGGCTAAGGCTGGTTCTGACATTTGTTTTTCATAATTTTATTTACTGATTTTATTTTTGGCTCTGCTGGGTCTTTGTTGCTGCGAGGGCATTTCTCGAGCTGCAGTGAGCAGGGTCTGCTCTCTAGTTGTGGTGCATGGGCTTCTCGTTGTAGTGGCTTCTTTTGCTGTGGGGCACGGGCTCTATCTAGGGTGCTCGGGCTCCAGTAGTTGCAGCCTGTGGGCTCAGTAATTGTGGCTCGCAGGCTCCACAGCACAGGCTCAGTAGTTGTGGCACACAGGCTTAGTTGCTCTGTGGCATTTTCCCAGATCAGGGATGGAACCCATGTCTCCTGCATTGGCAGGCAGACTCTTTACCACTGAGCCACCAGGGCAGCTTGGTTATGACATTTTAAATGATTGGAAAAAATTGAAGGGTTTTCCTGTGTGACATCAGAATTATATGGAACTGGCACGAGTGAAGTGAAAGTGTTAGTCTCTCAGTCATGTCTGACTCTTTGTGACCCCATGGACTGTAGCCAGCCAGGCTTTTCTGTCCATGGAATTCTCCAGGCAAGAATACTCGAGTGGGTAGCCATTCCCTTCTCCAGGAAATCTTCCAAACCCAGGAACTGAACCTGGGTCTCCTGTATTGCAGGCAGATTCCTTACCATCTGAACCACCAGGTAAGCAAACAGTCTGGTGGGAACAGTCACACCTGCCTGAGTGCTGCCTACTTCCGCACAACAGGGAAGAGTTGAGTAGTCTCCACAGTGACCTTTGGACCCACAGAGCCAAAAATATTTCCTGTCTGGTCCTTTACAGAGCCTGCTTACCATCGCTGGGGCTGAGGGGTCAACTTAATTCTGTAACCCACATTGAAAGTGGGGTCTCAGGCTTGGTGGGTGCCCAAGAAGGGGTGGATTCGGGACCCTGGACATGGCCGAGATGGAGGGGCTTCTGTGGCTCAGGGATGAGAAGGCAAGGACCCCAGCTGGTCCTGGGTCCCCAGGGCTGGTGATTGTCAAAGTCATCCTGCCCTTAGGAACCTCAGCAATGACAGAGAAGAGAGTGGTGGATTTCTCTAGGTAAAGGTGCAGGGATGGGAAATGTGGCTCCGGGGGGCCCCCATGGAACTGTGTTTGGGAGAGTTAGTAGCCCCGGACACAACTGGAAATATGCAGGTAGAGAGGAGATCGGAGCAAGGGGGCTCAGAGGGGCAACCAGGGAGCCATAAGGTGCTGAGGATCCAGCCTTCAGCCACCCGGTCCCAAGACATTGAAGGAAATTAGCGCCGAGACCACCCCTCCCCTGCTGAGCCAGATGGCCCCCTAGTCCCTGCCCTCTGCCCCAAGAAACTGTGCAAGCACTGGACACAAAGAGAACTCCATTTAGGGGACATCCTAAATCAGCCCTGGATTTAGGGGTAAGTGAACAAAATGCAGAAAGTACGAAGAACAATATAATTTACCCTGAGAACCTCCTCCAGTTGACAATTAAAAAAAAATTTATTATGGTAAAATATACATGACATAGGGAATTCCCTGGTGGTTAGGACTCTGTGGTCTTAACCATTTTCAAGTGATAGTTCAGTGGCACTGGGGACATTTGGGTCCATGTTGTGCAGCCATTACCAGCATCCATTTCCATAGCTTCTTCATCTTCCCAAACAGTAACTCTCCCCATTAAACACTTAACTCCCCAGCCCTCACCCAGCCCTGGGCACCCACCCTTCTATTCTCTTGTCTCTATGAGTTTGACTGTCCCGGGTACCTAATGTCAATGCAAATTTGTCCTTCTGTGACTGGCTGGTTTCACTGAGTATGTCCTCAAGTTCCATTTACATTGTAGCAGGTGTCAGAATTTCTCTCCTGAAAACTCAGTAATACCCCATCATATGGACAGACTCTGTTTGGTTTATCTATTCCCAGTCAATGACTTTATCATATTGGCTTCGAGTCTTTTCTGTTTCTTTCTCCGAGAGTTGGAATTGCAGCCCATCTGTGACATTCCCATTCCAGCCACCTCACCCTTCAAGGCTGGCCTGCACCCTGCCCAATGTGGCCTGGGTCTCAGACATCTATGATCTCTGACCAGGAACCAGCTTTCCACACATCTGCTCATTTATACAGGCGACATCATGCCCATGGTAGGCACTCCCAGCTTGGTAGGCAGCCCTCATGAGCCCCATGGACAGGAATATTTGGTTGGTCCATGTAGCTGCTGCCTGGGCTTCTGTTTCATTTTTGCTGGAATTAACATTGCTTTTTGCCAGTGTATCAGGTGTTGGGTTTTCTTTTTATGTTCTCAGTCCTTCCGTTTCCTCTTCTGTGAATCGCCTGCTTTTTCTGTTGGGATATTGCTCCTTTTTGTGGGGAGTCTTTAGGAGTAGGAGTTCTATATATATTCTCAAGCTGATTGTTTGATTCCTAGTTTATTTTTTTTAAAGAATGAGTTGGGTGTTAACTCGAGTCCTTCACCTATCCCTTGTGACTCCTTCCCAGCAGAGGTGGCCAGCATGTGTTAGGACAAGAGGCTGGGCTTTGGGATGATGACACACGGGTCAGGTGAGGATGGTGAAGACCTGGAGGGGTGGGAAGAAAGACAGAGAACCAGGACATTCCCTGGGAAGCAGAGGGCTGAGAACCTCAGGAAGGAAGGGACACAGTGGTGAACCCTAAGCAAAGAGAAAGCCTGGAGGCTTCCCTGGTGGCTCAGATGGTAAAGAATCCACCTGCAATGCAGGAGACCTGGGTTTGATCCCTGGGTTAGGAAGATCTCCTGGAGGAGGGCCTGGCAACCCACTCCAGTATTCTTTTTTGAACTGTGGTGTTGGAGAAGACTCCTGAGGGTCCCTTGGACAGCAAGGAGATCAAACCAGTCAATCCTAAAGGAAATCAGTCCTGAATATTCATTGGAAGGGCTAAGGCTGAAGCTGAAACTCCAATACTTTTGGCCGCCTGATGCGAAGAACTGACTCATTAGAAAAGACCCTGATGCTGGGAAAAATTGAAGGCAGGAGGAGAAGGGGATGACAGAGGATGAGATGGTTGAATGGCATCACCAACTCAACGAATATGAGTTTGAGCAAGCTCCAGGAGTTGGTGATGGACAGGGAAGCCTGGTGTGCTGCAGTCCATGGGGTCACAAAGAGTCAGACATGACTGAGCGACTGAACTGAACTGAACTGCTGTGGAAACAGGTTCCTCTAGACTGGTCCTTTTGTAGGAGGTGCACACTTTGGGCTTGTGGGATCTTAGTTCTCAACCAGAGATTGAACCTGGGCCTACAGCAGTGAAAGTGCCCATTTCTAACCACTTCACTGCCAGGGAATTCCCTAGACTGGTTCTTAACAGGGTGATTTTGCCTTTGAAGGATATTTGCAATGCTGGAGACATTTTTGGTTGTCATAGTGGAAAGGGGTGCTAGTGGAATCTGGTGAGTTGAGGCCACGGATACTGTAAAACAACCTACAAGGCACAGGACAGCCACCACCACCAGGAATGGCCCAGCCCTGAGTGTCCGTAGGGCCACAGTTGAGAACCCACTTCCTCTGTATGGCCTTGTGCTAGCAGGACCCCTTCTGTGGTTGCACAGCTTCCGTTTGCAGCTTACCTATGTGGGACACAATGTGCCCCAGGGATGCCCTGTCCAAGTTGATGACCCTGGGCCATGCCTGTCCTCTCTCTTCCTCCCCTAGGCAGGTCTGGAAGAGCCCCACCTGGGCCCAAGTGTGCGGAGGATGGAAACATTGCCCCGACAATGTCTCTGGGCCGCCTCCTTCGCCGGGCCTCCTCCAAAGCCTCGGACTTCCTGACCCTCACCCCGGGTGGTGGCGGCGGCGGCGGCGGGCCCCCCACCGTTCTGGATGGGGAGATCATCTACTCCAAGAACAATGTCTGCGTGCACCCACCAGAGGGGCTGCAGGGGCTGGGGGAACACCACCCAGGTGAGCCCGGCACAGGGAACCTGGGGTCACGGGCTGGGAGAAGAAGGCTTGGGGTGACAGGCCCAGGGAGAGCTGGCTGATCTCTCTGAAGTTAGCAAGCTTCTGTGTCACTTTCCCGTTTGCCCTAATTTCCCCATCTGGGAAGCACATCACTGACCTTTGACTCACAGAGAGGAGGCAGGACGGTCGAAGGGGAATTAGCTGTGTTTGCAATGGAAGAGGCCATTTGTGCATACAGGGCTGCTGAGAGGGGGCTGCTAGGAGGCGGGAGCGCCCGACTGCAGGGAGGGAAGCGGGGCATCATCTTCTTCAGGAAGCTGCCTGGTGGGGGGATTTCCCCCAGGCCCCCTTGAGTGTGTGCAGGAACATCTGGATGGGGAGATCATCTACTCCAAGAACAATGTCTGCGTGCACCCACCAGAGGGGCTGCAGGGGCTGGGGGAACACCACCCAGGTGAGCCCGGCACAGGGAACCTGGGGTCACGGGCTGGGAGAAGAAGGCTTGGGGTGACAGGCCCAGGGAGAGCTGGCTGATCTCTCTGAAGTTAGCAAGCTTCTGTGTCACTTTCCTGTTTGCCCTAATTTCCCCATCTGGGAAGCACATCACTGACCTTTGACTCACAGAGAGGAGGCAGGACGGTCGAAGGGGAATTAGCTGTGTTTGCAATGGAAGAGGCCATTTGTGCATACAGGGCTGCTGAGAGGGGGCTGCTAGGAGGCGGGAGCGCCCGACTGCAGGGAGGGAAGCGGGGCATCATCTTCTTCAGGAAGCTGCCTGGTGGGGGGATTTCCCCCAGGCCCCCTTGAGTGTGTGCAGGAACACAGCCCTCAGGTCAGGCTTGGTGGTTTCATCCCTTCCTGCAGCCCAGAGGGTGGGATGAGGACCTAGCAGGTTGTGAAGTGGGCCTGGGACGCTGAGGACATGGAAATCATTGATCCTGTGCACCCTTTGTGCTTAAATCCACTGTTTTGAAATGGGGAAAGGAAGCTCTCAGCCTCTGCACAAATGGAGATGGAGGGTCCTTTCCTGGCCCTCCACACCAGAGCCTGGAGTTGCCCTGGGCAGTTCGAGGGACACTACAGCCTGTGGCTCTCCTGAGTCCCAGGAGTGGGTAACTTTTCCTGTGGTGACAGTGACTTTGCTATCTTTTGCCAAGCTGCAGAGAAAGAGACTGCGTTTTTTCCAGGGCTCCAGTTGTATTCTGAGCCCCCAAACAGCAAGCTCTCCTGTGCACGAAGGGAGTGGGCACAGATTCTCTTTGCAGGAGTGTCACTAATTGTGACTCTTCTTGGGCAGGGAGCTTAACTCTCCGGAAGTATTCTTGTCCTTCTGCCTTGATAAGCATATCTTTACAGTGGACAGTTAGCTACAGATTTAGAGTCACCAGACCCTCCAGGTTCCAAAGCAGGAGAGCCGACTTCCAGTCCCAGCTCTTTCCTGGGTTTTAAGGACCCTGAGCCTTCTCCAGGGGACATCACAGCCCCGTCCAAAGCCCCCACAGATAGGTCAGGTGGGAAGCCCTGAACAGGTCTTGGAAGCAGATTCTGAACTGTCAGGGTGGGGGATTCCAGGGTCCTGGTTCCTGAACTGTGCTCTTGAAGGCTGAGTGGCGTGTTGCCTTGCCCCTGTGGATGCCTGACCATGGGCCCAAATTCCAAGGACTCAGGGGGCCAGGAGCAGAGGTCCTAGGCCTGAGTCTGAGGGTGTTGCATGTTCTGGGCATAAAGCAAAAATAAAAGCTGCAGCCTTTGAAGGGCTTCTGGTATCATCCTTGCCTGATGGGAGGCAAGGGAGAGGGGGCCAGAGGTCTCAGGTTCCCTTCCAACCCAAAGCCATATGGAGACACTTGACCTCACCTGAATGTTATGCTTCTGGACAACTGGTTGACAACCCCCGAGTTCCCCACTGTTTTGGAAGTGGGAGCTGGGCTAAGGATTCTGGGTTGAGTCAGAGCCCTGGGGCATGACAGGGGCCCCAGCTCCTGCCCCAGGGGCTTCTCAGAGACCCAGAGGCCTGGGAACCTGGGTGCCATAGGCCTAAGAGTTAGGACATCCCCAAATGGCAGGTGTCTCAGGAGGAAAGGCCACCTTCCTCCCAAACTGAGCATGCAGGGGCCCTAAGAGCCCACCCATGTGCCGCTGGCCTCAGAGAACTGCTCTTCTCTTCTTTGTCAGCAATCCGGGACATGACATTGAAGATGGCCCTCCTTCCGACAAGCAGTTTTAAAGAAGAGATGCTGAGAAGCCTCAGCCAACAGGGAAAGGCCCAAATGCCACTCATCTTGGATTTATCTTTTGTGTGACGTAGTGATAAAGTCTGCAGCCTGAGTCCCTCCTAAGATTGCGATGAAGCTGGTGGCACTTCTGGGTCCCTGGGTGCCTCCCCAGCCACCTGGGCTCATCCAGACTGGGAGGCTGATGGAGGCAGGGGAGCCCTGGGGCCCCTAGAGCCGTGGACAGGGTGGGGCTCTGAACAAGAGGAGGAGGGAAGGCACAGGGTATCCTGCTGCTTGAGGGCTCGCCCCCAGATCTGCTCAGTGTGTGTGCTTAGAAAATGCCCTCGACTCTCATTCATCCTGAGTTCAACTGTATCCCTCGGGGTGCCTTCTTAGGGCCGGGCTGCACAGCCCCACGGTTTTCTCGCCTGGGTGTGGTTCTGGGAAGAAAGCAGCTAGAGGCACTTGGTGCACGGCCCTGCCTAACCATCTGTGCTCCTGACCCCTCATAGGCTACCTGTGCTTGTACATGGAGAAGGATGAACTGCTGGGGGCCACCCTCATCCTCGCGTGGGTCCCCAACTCCCGGATCCAGAAGCAGGACGAGGAGGCGCTGCGCTATATCACCCCCGAGAGTTCCCCCGTGCGCAAGGCACCCCGCCCTCGGGGCCGGCGCACCCAGAGCTCAGGGGCCCCCCACCAGCCATCCCCCACGGAGCCCAGGTCCACCCTGATCCCCAGAGACGAGGACATCCTGGTGGTGGCCCAGAGCATCCGAGACACCGAGTGCGTCAGCCCTTCGCCTGAGGATGGGGAGAAGCTGGCCCCGGGCTTGGGGACAGACGGCCCCCTCCCAGCCTTGCCACCGGCCCATAGCGACTCAGGAATCTTGTCAGCGGTCAGTTCGCAAGATGGGACAGAAGAGGGCCGGGAGCCCCGACCCGAGGTGGGTGAGGAGGAGGGTTCCTTGGAGCTGTCGGCCGAGGGTGTGAGCAGGGCCAGTTCCTTCGACTCGGACTCAGAGGCCTTCTCTTCACCCTTCTGCCTCTCGCCCATCAGCGCCGCCCTTGCTGAGAGCAGCAGCTCCGTGTTCTTGGAGAGTGAGAGCGGGTGAGTTCCCCACTGCCCACTGCGTCTCTGGGGCCAAGAGCAAGGGCCTGTGTCCCCGCTCTGCTCACTGAGCACGGAGGACGCCTGCATCCCATTGCGCGGGCACCAGAGTGCCTTCACTTCATGCCACCCCAGGGGGTTGTGAAGGACACACAGCCCGGGCTGGGGGGCTGGGAGTTCCCTCCCCCGTCTCTCCCCTTCCCTAGGACTAAACCTTCCCAGCCAAGTCTGACCAGCCCTGTACACCAGTCCAGACCCCCTGGGGCCAGGCCTCAGCATCCTGGCGCCTTCTGTGCTCATCACTGGAGGGACTGAGATGGTCCGTCAGGCAAATTCAGGGAGGCTGGGGTGGCGGCAGAAGGCTTGTGGGAGAGGCCTGGTCCCCAGCCAGGCTCTGTGCTCTGCCTGGGGCCAAGCCAGGCACAGGGCCCGGCCTGCCAGAGGGGCCCTTAGCCTTTCTACTTCTCACACCCTCAAGCTGTAAGAGGCTGGAACGCAGCCCCAGGGGGAAGTTGGCAGCATTTACTGTACAGCCGAGAGCCCAAGGGGACCAGATGCCTGGGCACATTAGCGGGCTCACTTTCCTTGCCACACACACAGGGCTCGGAGGAGCAGCCCTGAGATGTTGTCTGAAGGGGGAGGGTTATCATAGTGTCACATGGCGTCGTTAGGGGGCCTCGGGGCCTCCCAGAGGTGGGCGTGCACAAGGCTCGTGAACCACAGGCTTGGGCTAACTCAGAGCAACTGGGGCAGGCATGGGATGGGCAGGCGTGTGACTTGTACACCCCCTTCTCATGCTTGGCTGTGGTCCGTGTTCTCATTAATTTCCAGGCGAATGATGGTGATGACAGTAAGTGCTGACGTTAGTCAGTCAGCATGTAATTCCTTGAGCTCACGATGTGAGCTGGGCATGTGATCAGTGTGGATGTCTGAGTTTTGCCTGGGTGCAGGGCATGTGGGCCATGGATTAATTCTTTTTAGGCCCACAAGAACCCCAAAGCCTGTGAGGTAGGTGCTCACATCACCCTCTGTGTATCGAAGGGAGAAGCGAGACCCAGAGAGGTTAAGGAACTTGCTGGAGGTCACCCAGCCAGTTCAGGAGCTGAGCCAGATTTGAACCCTGCTGGGTTTACAACAGACCTAGAGCAATAAGGTCACAGGAACTGATGTGAGAAAAGGAACAGGATGGGGAATGTGGAGCTTTCACTTCACTTAAATATTCCCAGCAATTTTCACCTCCTGTTGGATTTGGGAACTGCTTGCAGACTCCTAACCTGAAGCTGGATGCCATCTGTCAGGTGTGGGAGTTTGGCTGTCCTGTCATGAGTCCTTTTTGTGGTCATGCTTTGGAAACCCAAGTTACATCTTCCAGACCCCTGTTCCACCCAATTTAGTTTAAGGTTCATGTTTCTGCTTAGAGCTGCAGGGCATGCTCGGAAGGAAGACTGTAGTGTCGTGAGGGAGATCCCTCCCTCGCCGTGGAGCCGCAACAATTCCATATTGCTTGCTTTTCTGGCTCAGTCTGTCCAATTCCACCAAGGCTTTGGTCTGGGGCAGGATCGCCATGAATGAGGTCCCCCTCCTTGCCTCCCAGGAGCATGTGCTTCAGTCAGGGGCTGATGTGAAAACAGGCTGTTTTTGAGATGCAGTGTGAGAGGTATTACATGGAGGCATCCTGGTTCCTGACCCACTCATGCTTGACAGGTTGCTGGAAGTTTAAAAAAAAGAAAAAAGCAGCTATGGATTTCAAGAGGGACTGGGTGGGCCCTGGGCTGTGCATTTTCTGCCAGGCTGCTCCTGCTTCTTTGCTCCTGGAGTTGAGCTGCAATTTTGTCTCCCCACAACATTCGAGACCTGAAAGCAAAGCTGGTGTGTCTCCACTCCCTCCTGCCCCCCACCCCACTACAGCTCCCACCCAGTGATGGGCCTGGAAATCTGGACTAAATGGTCAGTAGCGCTGGGTGCTATAGAGCAAGGCTTCCCAGCCCAGCGAAAAATGAGAATGCCCCAGGCAGCTTTGAAGGCCCCTGATTCCCAGGCCTACCCAGACTGACTGAAGCAGAATGACTGGGGTGGTCCCTGGACATGGGCAGATTTTTTCCCCTCTGCGCATGGGTCTCCAAAGTGCTGCTGGGCTTGAGAACCACAGTTGTGATGTGGGGAGCTTCCCTCATAGCTCAGTTGGTAAAGAATCTGCCTGCAATGCAGGAGACCCTGGTTCAATTCCTGGGTTGGGAGGTCTGCTGGAGAAGGGATAGGCTACCCACCCCAGTATTCTTGGGCTTCCCTTGTGGCTCAGCTGGTAAAGAATGCGCCTGCATTGCAGGAGACCTGGGTTCGATCCCTGGGTTGGGAAAATCCCCTGGAGAAGGGAAAGGCTACCCACTCCAGTATTCTGGCCTGGAGAATTCCATGGACAAAGGAACATGACAGGCTACAGTCCAAGGAGCACAGAGGCATGGACCTTGTAGAGAGGGCATCTGGAGTGAGGTCTTGGAGCACCAGCATCTGCTGGACCAGACTCCCCACAGGGAGCTTGTCTTTGAAGATCTGAACGCGCCGGTAGTGGCTCCAGGAGCAGAGGCTCTTCATTTAACTGGGAATTGGGTCCCCTCGGGGGAGCAGACAGGCTGGCTCACGGGATCCCTCTAGTGGCAGAACCGAAGAACTACACGTGGAGACCGCGTGTGGCTGGGCAAGGGTTGGAGGAGCAGCCCCCCATCTGAGAGCCACTTAAACGTTTTGTGACGTGGCAAATAGTTTACGGAAAGGTTGAGTGGTTAAAATCACAGTGTCCATTTGTGTGCTACCTGTGGGGTTTAACCAGGCACAGCCTCATCCCTAGATGAGGCCACCTGCCATGCCACCCCAGCATAGTGATGGCTGGGAATTCTTGACCACATGAGTATCCAAAGACTGTTGGGAAGTGGGTGGACAAGGAAGGCTTTGTGGCTGACTTGCCATCACGGGCCCTTCTCCCACTGAGGACTGAGTTCTACAAACAGGGATTAGAGTCTGTGGCTGTCTCAGTCCTGTACCTTCCACAGTGTCAGAAATCAAGGCTTTGGGTTGCGATGAAGGTGAGAATAACCACCAGACAAGATCAGTGGCCAGCCTGTCATTCGTTTATGTCCTGAGAGGTGCCTGGTCCAGTCTCTAGGGCTAGTTGGATGAGGATGTCATATAACAGGACCCCCATGTGGACCCCTATGTGGCGTCTCAACTGCCCCCCTGCCTGGGGAAGTATGTGGTGACATTTACTAGCTGAAAACACAGCTCCCACTCCCTAAATCTAAAGGTATCTTCTGGAACTCATCCCAAGAACCAATCTAAATTACAGAAATAAAGCATATTTGCATGAAGATGTCCATCTTGCTCTTCTTTATAATGGAGGGGGAAAGGGAAGAATCTACAGAAAGAGTTGCATCCATTACGGTTCATCTTCCAGGTTAAGGAGTTTTAATGGGGGCCTGTGAGCCCCCTGAGGTCTTCCACCACTTCTTGTATGTGTGCTCATGGGTGTCCGTTTACCTGAGGAGGGGGCACTTCTGGCTCCCCCAAGGGTGCAGAACCTTAGTACTACTAGAAGATTGTGCAGTATTAGTAAAGGTTATACAGCAGTGTGGAAATTTATGGTGTATCAGAAACAAAGCAGGTAGCAAATGATGTACACGTTTTGACTGAAATCCACGGGAAGACCTGATGCATGAATGAGACCATCCAAGCAGCACTGTGCCATTGCGACAGCGTCACTGCCTTGCTCACCTGGGAGCACGTGAAAGGCGGCTAGTGTGACTGACAAGCTGAGTTTTTAATTTTACGTGATATTGATTGAGATAAATTTAAGTGACACATGTGAATGCCCTATTGGACAGCACCAGCTGAGAGGAAGCTGTGCCAATATGTTAGGGCAGGGTGGTCATGAGTCATTTTTTTTCTTTCTCATGTTTCAAAAATGTTACAGTGTGACCGTATTAATCATATGATGAAAAAAAGTTTTAAAACTAGATAGCCAGGGACTTCCCTGGGGGTCCAGTGGTTAAGAATCCGCCTTCCAATATAGGGGATGTGGGTTCAATCCCTGGTTGGGGAACTGAGATCCCACATGCTGCAGCTAAGAGTTCTCATGCTGCAACTAAAATATCCCACATGCCCCAACTAAAGAACCTACACGCCGAAATTTGAAGATCCCATGTGCTGCAACTAAGACCTGATGCAGTCAGATAAATAAATATTTTTAAAAAATAGATCACATAGCTGATAGCCGCTGCATAGCTCAGACCAGCTCACCCCCGTCTGCTGTCTTGCATGCTTGTTAATGAGAAGGCCCCTTAGGACCCCGTGACCCTCCTCCCCAGAGTTGTCATCGGTGCCCCCACCCCCAGGGTAAATGCGTGCCTCATTTCCTCTCTCATCCCCTCCTCTTGTCATTCTTGGTGAGTGTTCTGGGGACGGCTGTCCTGAGTGAAGGGTGGTGTTCAGCTTACAGAATGAGCTGGGTGGCCTTGCACTTTGAGGCTCTCACCTTGGCATCACTGGGGCGGTGGTCCAGCCAGCGCAGACTCGGGTCCAGGAGAGTTGGGTGCAGCCATGAGGGGTGACAGCTGCCTGTCCCCGGGGTCCTACCTGGATGCTCCCCTGCCTGCCGACCTCTCCTCTCCTCTTTTCCCACACATGCTGTGGTTTGGCCAGCCATTCCCCACAGCCTCACCCTTCCCCAGCCTCCTTCCAGCTGGAATGTGCTCCCCTCCCCTGGTGAAACCCCAGCCAGACTGTGGCCTCCTCCATGACCCCGGCTGGCTCCCCAGAGCTCCTGCCGCTTTCCCCAGGCATCCTGTTTATGTGGCATTTAACATGTGCTGCCTCCTGCTGTTGCTTTTCCTTGAGCTGTACGGTCTTCTGGACCAGTGCCGTCCTATAGGACTTTCCATGGTGGTGAACGCTGTCCAGCGCAGTAACCACTGGCCATGTGTGGCTGTGGGCTCCTGGCAATGTGGCTC